GCACGCCGGGGCGGCCGGCCAGCGTCACTGGGACCGCTGCGGGCGGTGGATGTGGACAAAGACCGACCGCAACAGTATGGAGCATTCAATGCACGAGGAGAATCCTGGAGGACTCGCGCGCATCAAATCCAAACCGAATTTGCGTCGGGTTCACATCGGGCTACGTCGGAATTGCGCCGGGTTTACGTCGGACTGACGCCAGAACATCGCCGCGCGAGCGTCGACCCATAGCTGACGGAAATGACGTATGGGTTAGATAAGACAACTGTGACGCGCCGCGCGGGGCCTCAATGACTTCCCTCACAACGCAATGTGTTAAAATATGTTGGCATCTCTTCCGGAATTCCTCTAGCTCACCGTTGCAGAAGAGCTCTACGAGGTCAGAGTGTGGGGGCCGAGCGGTCATTCACTGTCCCTGGGTGCGTGGCTGAAGTGGAATTCCGCGGTGCGGATTCTCGTTGTTGTTGTTGTTGTTGAACATTATTACTTCTAAAGAATAATTATTGTTGGGGCCCCTGGTGCGCGACCCCCCCGCCGCGCCTAGGCCGCAGCCACATTTTCATCATTTTCGTAAGGAAGTCTCAAGCAAAACGGGTTGGTCCGGATCCGGTTGTTTTGTTACGGCCCGCTTTCCCTTGCAAAAAATAAGCTAAAGTGGACATTTCTTGTTCTAACATAACCAAACTTCAAGAATCCCTTGCAAAAAATAAAATAAAGTGGACATTCGCGCGCGCAAGACGAAATCCTTCCAAAACCTTAGTTTTCGTAGCGATTTTAACATAAAAACATAAAAAACCAATGGTTTCTACAAGAAAAAACTTGTCAAAATTTCATCCCGCGCGCTCTTGCGGATTCGTAGGAAACCCAACACGTTTTAAACATTTCTGTCAAACGGGTTTTTGCGAGCAACTTTTTCGAACTTCTGCAACAACGGTTGCGCACCTGCCAGGGCCATCATCCCTGTCAAATAATACCATGCGGGACACATTCGTTTTTTCTTCGCGCGCGCACGCCGTCGTCGTCGGCCGCGGGGCCCTGAATAGTAGCCACGGTCGTCCGCATGCCACGAAGTGAAGTGTCCGAACGTCATAGGGCGGGAAGCTGGGTGTGGGTGGTGGCGAAGAGTCGTTTGGAAATTTGGTAGAGCTTGAACCGGCCCCCCCACAAAGTGGGGGTATTGCCCGCCTCCTATGAAAACCCTGGCACTGGTGAGAACGGAGTGTCCCCACGTGCTAGTAATTGTTGTTGTTGTTGTTGTTTTTGTTGTTTGGTGTTTTTGTTGTTGTTGTTGTGGTTGTTGTTGTTGTTGTTGGTGTTGTTGTTGGTGTTGTTGTTGTTGTTGTTTTGTTGTTGTTGTGTTGTTGTTGTTGTTGTTTGTTGTTGTTGTCCCACCCGCCCCGCCCCGCGACCCACCCCGCGACCCACCCCGCGACCCACCCGCGACCCACCCCGCGACCCACCCCGCGACCCACCCGCGACCCACCCCGCGACCCGCCCGCGGCCCACCCCGCGACCCACCCGCGACCCACCCGCGACCCACCGCGCGACCCACCCGCGACCTACCCCGCGACCCACCCGCGACCCACCTTCGACCCAAACCACGTTCAAGGTACAAACCACCATTTTCGGCGCCTGCGGCGGGTTTTTTTTTGCATTCCTTCCAGGTGGAGAGCCCGCGACCCACCTCGTGACCAACTCGCGACCAACCCGCGACCCAAACCACGTCCAGGGTACAAACTACATTTGTCGGCGCCTGCGGCGGGCATCTTTTGCATTTGTTTCAGGTGGAAAGCCCACGGCCCACCCGCGACCACGCTCAGGGTACAAACCACATTTTTCAGCGCCTGCGGCGGGCATCTTTTGCATTCGTTCCCGGTGGAGAACCCGCGGCCCACCCGCGACCCAAATCACGTTCCGTGTACAAACCAATTTTTGTTGGCGCCTGCGGTGGGCTGCTTTTGCATTCCTTCCAGGTGGAGGTGCCGCGACCTAAACCATGTTCACTGAACAAACCAATGCCGCACAAGCGCGGCAGGGATTTTTGCATGCCGTCTGAGCCCGCAAGGACGTCTTCAAGCCCTGCGCATCCACAACAGCCCGTCCAGCAACTTTGCCGGCGAATTGCCTTGATCAGAGAAGGCGGGGAGCATAAGCAGGAACAAAGGATTGCGTTGCAGTTATCTTGGGAAAGAAGGGGGAGGCAGGAGGAGTAAACAGGGGACGACGAAAACGCGGAAGAAAGGAGAATGTACGGAGAATGTGGAGAAAGAAAAGGAGGAGGAGCAGGAGGACGAGGAGGGGGAGGAGGGGGAGGAGGGGGAGGAGGAGGACGAGGAGGGGGAGGAGGGGGAGGATGATGATGATGGACGACAATGGGAGGACGATGATGGAGGCCGATGAGGGGGAGGACGACAATGGGAGGACGATGATGAAAGGACGAGGAGGGAGAGGGAGGACGAGGAAGAAGAGGAGGAGGAGGAGGACGAGGTGGAGAAGGAGGATGACGATGACGATGAGGACGAGGACGAGGACGAGGAGGAGGAGGACGAGGAGGAGGAGGAGGAGGTGGGAGGAGGAGGAGGAGGAGGAGGAGGAGGAGGAGGAGGAGGAGGAGGAGGAGGAGGAGGAGAAGAGCGCCATCGACAGGGAAGGTGGGGGCCACGAGGTCCGCTTGCTCGACGACGCCCGCGTCGCCCGCGCCCGCCCCCTCACTCTTATCCGCAATTGCGGGGTGCTATGTATTACTCTCAAGCTCTGCCGCTTCGCTCTTAGGCAAGCTCTACGAGTCACTAGCTCATTGATGCCGAGGGGCTCTGCGAGATATAGACGCGACAGATCAGTAGGGGGGGTCTTCCTGACCTCCGTCGGCTGCCGCTGGCCCTCCGCCAGCTCGGGCCCGCGGGGGCGGCCTCGCTTCGCTTCCGCCGTCTTTCCGCGGCCCTGCTGTCTCCCAGGGAAGAGCGACGATTCTTCAACGGGCCGACCACCACAGAGTTGACAACGAAATAGCGTTTGAAAAGAACAACGAAACGAAGCCCATCGCTTTGAACAGACGTTCGGAACGACATAGCGTTTGAAACGAACAACGAAACGAAGCCCATCGCTTTGAACAGACGTCTGGAACGGAACCGGTGACAGGCTGAAACGAAAGACGAAACGAGGCGTTCGATAAAAAGAAAAACCATCGAAACGAGACACGAACGAGGAACGAAGCGAAACACAGAACGGAGACCAACAACAAGCTAAACCGCGGTGTGGCCGATTCTTGTGGACATATCAGAGTGAGGGGGCCGAGAGGTCTGACACCCATCCCTCGGCGCGTGCCCTTTATTGATGGTTGTTGCCATCATCCTCGCTCGCGACCCACCTGCGACCGACCCGCGAACTGCTCGGCGCCAGCGCTGCGCTTCTTCAGACCCTCGCAGGTCTGCCGACGACCCCGCGGCCCCCTCATTCATATCCACATCCGCCGGCGCCATGGTATTTCGGCCCCAGGGGGGCTGACTATGTATCCACATATCTACCTCCTGTTCTTCCTCCTCCTCCTCCTTTTTCTTTTCCTCCCCTCCCCATAGCCATGTTTGGCACGCGCACTGACCGCGAACGCTTGAATTCCGACTTGTCGCGCCGGACGGCGTGTGGTCTCGTGCTCGTGCTCGTGTACCGCCTGCCGAGGTCCCCGAAGGTCGATACCCAAGCCAGTGGTTATGGATAAATCCCCGCCTCGGACTGAGGGCGAGGAACGAAGAAGATTTGAAGGGCCTGGTACCTGGACGTAGAGACGATCGACGACGACGACGGCGGCGGCGACGATGACGACGACGACGGCGACGACAACGATGACGCCGCCGCCGCCGACGACGACGACGGCGGCGGCGGCGACGGCGGCGGGCGGTGGTGGGGAGGAAGCCGCGATGGTGGGCGACACGGCGAATGGAGGAGCGCAATGCCACGCAAGGAGGATGGGCGGAAGGCCCGGATGAAGTTGAATCTGCACATCGCTGCACGTGGGGACGTTCCTAGTCCCCTCCTCCTGCATGCAAAAACAAGGAAAAGCGGCGGGAGGAGCCAGGCGGGGTCCCCCTGGTGGTTGTCCCCCCCTCTCGCTCGAGACATCCCCTGCACCCAGCTCGGAGATATGTCCCCCCGGGCCTCTCGAACCCGTCGACGGTGCCAATTGCTTGTCAAATGCAATGTTTGGGGGGGCGGCCCCGTGATCCCCGAAAACGTAAACCTGGAAGGTGATTGACGACCTACCAGGCCACCCCAACCTAACCCGACGAGGCACATTTCGAGGGGGGGGGGAGTGGAGAGACGAGTTCCACACAGGTCTTTCGACGTTCCCCGACGCCCCGCCCCACTGGGAGTGGAGGGCAACCTGGGGCTTTCCAGTTGGATGGGGCGGTTCGGGTAGTGGTGAGCTACGACGATGGCTTGGATGCCAAGGTCGGGGACCGAGCGCGGATCGAGCGCCGCGCGCGGAGGGAGCGAGACGAGCGAGGAGGCGGCCCGACGGCCCAGGCGAGCATCGCGGCCAGTGCGTCCTCTCCGCGCCCCCGCGCGGCGGCGGCACGCGTCACGCTCGAACGCAAATCGATCACACGCACATTCGCCATGCTCGGTGACGACGGTTGTGGTGGTGATGACGGTGATGGTGATGATGCTGATGATGATGGTGCTGCTGATGATGCTGATGATGATGGCCATTACGATCATGTTTTTGATATTGATTATGATGGTGATGCTGGTGATGATGGTGATGCACGGCGAGAAACTGGCCGCCCCGATGCTTTCGAGCCGCCGGATGTCTGGGGGCGTGTGTAGGAGCCTGCTGATACAAGGCCAAGCGGCGAACAAGGGAGCCTCTTTTCCTCCCACTGCCTGCCTTCACTCACCCCCCCCTTGTCTCCCTCTCCCGGAGCTGGAGAGGAACGCATCTTTGCCGCAACCGCCACGAGCCCAACCCATCCCAGTTGGCGCTTCTGGCTGGTGCGCGGAGCCTCCATGTGCTGCTGGAGCCACAAGCGCTGGTGCTCATAAAACTCGGAAGCCCTCTCCTTCGTCACGTGTCCTTGCAGATGCTGGCATTCACAAGGGCGGCTTCCGGATATCACAAGACGGACGGAATACAGTCGGGTCATTGACCTAATGAACCCTGAATAAGGAAATATGTCCCTTCCGGGAAACCTCTAAGGCAAAGTGTGAAAACAATCGAGGAACACCGAGCCCCTCCCCAAAGAAACTGGTTCCTTCTTCAGCGCCCCGACTGTAGGCAAAAGCAAGAGAGGACGCAGAGAAGGAGAGAGAGAACGTTGAATAACGCCCATCGACAACAGTCGACTGAGTGGTTGGTAGGGGACAGGCGCTCTACCTGAGAGGCCTGAGTGCAACAGCTCATCACTCAGCTCGCCATCACCATACCCCCATCATTGAAGGGGCCCAGGGACACACATGAATACACACAAATCGAAAGACTTCTTATATGTTCCAGTATTTTCTGACTTTTCGTCTTCCACCCCACTTCCCATACGTTCCCATATGTTCCTGGCAGTCGATTGGCTGTGTCTGTGTGCCCCTTTTCCTCCTCAATCATGGCCAACTGGGATATGCCACTACCTGAACCACAGGACCATCCTGATCCGGATAGATGTCGCCCGTCGACCTATACACCATCATTTGGGCGATAAGGGAGTTTCGGGATGGGTGTAGCGTTCGATCTGCGATTGAATTTGCATTGGACTTGCAGTGACCCGTTCGGCGATATATTTTTTCAGCTTTGAACATGCAGCAACACTCGGGTTGCAAGTAACTTCGCACCGAGCTGCAAGCACACGCGCACACGCATGTATACATTACACATGCAAACTATTGGTACTCATGCAGGTGTTCACCTGTCACGAGATATGCAAACACATGCATATGCATACATGTGTGCCCCTACATCGCCACGTATACACGCATACAGGCACAATCCACGTCATGATGCCAGCCACTACGATGCTGGGCGTCCAAGAGTTCAAAAGGTTAGAGGAGGCTGCGTAAAGCAACAAGGTTCGCAACACAAGCCACTATCATCACTGGCATTACCACCTCCACCGCCACAATCACCACTACCACCATTACCACAACGACCGCCACCGCCGCCATCTGCACCATCACCGCCATCACCAGCACCGCCACCACTTGGATCACCATTACCTGTGGGACCGCTGAGACTCACGTTGTTATCTGACTATTGATGTGCGCGTCTCCTCCCCAGACCGACCTATCACCTAGCTAACCTGCTAGACCTACCGACCCATCCACCTACCTAACCACTCGTCGATCTACCAGTCCATCTGCCGAGCTGCCTCCACGGCGTATCCATCGATCAGGCGATCTTGACGGTGGCTGTCTGGCCGTCGCCGTACCAATCCAAGCTTGCGAGTGGGGGCCTTTGGGGGCCAACATGTTCGGCCGCCTTAGGTCCTGATGGCCGTCATGTGGGTCTCTGGGGGCTGTGGGGGCGGTCGGGGGCCCCAGTTGAAGTACGGTGGGCTTCAGAGAGGCAAGCACTGCGACGAGGCCGCTACTTGGTGCCTGTGGGGTCCTACTGGGAACCAGTGGGGGCTTTTTGGGGGCATCTTGCTGTCAACTACGGTTTCCCTCAACGACCACGTCCCGATTCGGATTTGTTTGGGGGCCGTTGTGGGGTCGTCTGGTCCAGTCCTGGGGCCCTGCTGGGCCGCCAGGGTCGCCTCCTGGTCACCAGAGCCATCTGTGGGGGACCTTGGGGGCTCTTGGGGCGCCTTGGAAATTGAAAATACATAATAAACTCATGTTGTACAATTTGGGTTCCGTCTTCCCTCTCGTCGATCCCTTGCTCTCATTCTCACATTCCTCCTCCTCCTCCCTCTTCTTCCTTGTTCCTGGCTTTCTATGCTGACACTCCCCCTTACTCCTTCTCGTTTTCCTGTTGCAGAGGATCTTCGTGGGAGGGCCTCTTGGAGGCCTGCAACAAGACGCTTATCGACAATTTCTTGGGAGCCGGCTGAACGCCTTCTGGGGGCCTCTGAGGGGCTTCTTGGGGCTATGCTGCTGCCAACCACGGTTCCCCTCAACCAACAAGAACCGAATTGAATTTGCTTTGGAGGGCGTCTTAGGGCCGTCCGCTTCCGTCGTGGGGCCTTGGAGCCCTGCAGGGCAATCTCGGGCCGAATCTTGGGGCTCCCTTGTGCCGCCTTGAACGATCTTTGGGGCCGATTCGGCGGTCTCGGACGCCTGTAAAGTCACAGAAGCGGGCTTCCGCGAACTGTAAACAACCTGAATTTGCATATATGTTGAATGATCACATTTCTGATAATCATGGTTGACCTTCCCTCCGGTGCACCTCGTGATCTTTCAATGAAAGGGCCCCTCCTGGGTCTCGCACACTGTTACAAGGGGAAGTCTTGCGCCTCAGACTACTCCCCTGGCACCCGAACTACAACATCAACGGCCTCCGCCAAATAGCTCCTCATAGTCCATCCAAAACCGCGTTCTCGCGCTGGACTTCCTCACGATTTGATTGGGAATCGCGGTGTCGCAAAGAGACTTCCTCGCGATTCATGAAGGACTTAAGCTTCAGCCATCTGGGCCGCCCGCTCGACCCGCTGGTTACGGTCCGCCCGCACGACACGCCCGTCTGGTTCTGCCGCTTGTTTCCCTGCTTCTAACATTCCTTCTGCTAGTCTCCCTCGCGCTCCACGATTATCCCTCCCTGCTGTCCCTTCTCTCATCCTCTCCTTTCCCTTGTTCAGGTTCTGCGCCAACTACGCATGGCACGTAAGGAGGGTATACCCCGAGGGGTATGATCGAAGACGAAATGGACTGGTATCGAGGTCTTGGGATATACATGTTGAACGGCTCGCGAGCGGATAAGAGCGAACAATCATAACATGTTTGTTGTTGCATTCTGGGGCCTCTTGAGGATGTTGTTTGGGCCGTCTACGGGGAGTCTCGGAGGGTATAAAGCCAGCTGGGCTCCCTCCTAACAAATTTGTGTCTGATAACCCAAGGAGACGATCTGCACGAGCGCCAAGAGGTCTGGAGGGCTCAGGGGTCCCGGCTGGCCCAGATGTACGAACAAAAACTAGGGGAAGGGCCGGTGAGTAAAAACATCTGGGACGACCAGGGACATAGTCCCTCTCTCCTTCTATGCGTACATACATACAGTTATACTCGTACCACAACGTGTATACTGTCACTTGCCTTCGTATTTCAGATTCGTACATCTACGCATGGATCGGTCATTGCCTCTGCCTGCATTTGGACTTGAATGGGTGACCAGCCAGGAAGGCAAACCTCCAGAACAGCCGCGGAACCACCGCCAACCAACCGCGGGACGACTGCGCAACGACCGCAAGCCAACCGCTGGGCAATTCTGCAGGACAAACTCCACGCCCCGCCCCCTCTCAGCAGAGCGGACCTCCCTGGCCGAGCAGAGGACCTGCAACGCCCGACCTTCCCCTCTCCCGACGTCCCGCGACGACGACCAGAGGCCTCCAAGATGGGGTCCCAATAGCTGGGGTCGAAGGATCGCGCCGCACCGCCGATGTCACGGCAATGCATCAGCGATGCATCAGCGATGCATCGGCAATGCATCGGCCATGCATCGGCGCCATCGGCGCGAAGCACATCGGCCTCCACAGCGAGCCGCATCGCCGATGCATCGGCCATGCGGCGCGATCCACCGACCACCTCTACAGTTGGCCCGTATCGCAAGGATGCGCGACAAGGAAGCAAGGGCTCAGCAAAGTGGCCCAGGGTGGACCGAGGAGGCAAGGACGCAGGGGTGCCCATGATGCTTCTGCGGGTTGACTGTGCTCGGACCCCAGCTGGGAGGTCTAGACCAACGACGGCTGCGGTGCGCCGCCGTCGCCTTGCCGGTCTGGCCTCCCTGCCACCGCCGACGCGTAGGAGGCGGCCGCGCCTCTGAGCGCGGGGGCTGGGGGCCCTCGCGGGGGCGAGGAGCAGCGACGCACAGCTCCGAGCGCGGAGACCGGAGGAGGAGGAGGAGGAGGAGGAGGAGGAGGAGGAGGAGGAGGAGGAGGAGGAGGAGGAAGGGGAGGAGGAGGAGGAGGAGGAGGAGGAGGAGGAGGGGAGGAGGAGGAGAAGGAGGAGGAGGAGGAGGAGGAGGAGGAGGAGGAGGAGGAGGGGGAGGGGGAGGGGGAGGGAGGAGGAGGAGGAGGAGGAGGAGGAGGAGGAGGAGGAGGAGGGAGAGGAGGAGGAGGAGGAGGAGGAGGAGGAGGAGGAGGAGGAGGAAGGGGCGAGCAGAGCGGCGGTTGCACCCTTGCAGTTCAGGGGGGGAGGCGCGCGGCCCGCTCCGAAGCCCCGCCGACCTTCAGACAAGACAACAGAGAATGCGTGGTGGCCTTGCTTTGGAACGCTTTCATAAGCAGCAAGGGGGCGGGGAGATGGAGATAGGCTCGACCACAGGCAAAGAGAGAAAGAGAGAGAGAGAAAGAGAAACAAAACAAAATAACAACATAGCGTGAAACCTGGGGCGATAGAAAGAGAAGGGGAGAGAGGGGGGAGAGAGAGAGAGAGAGAGAGAGAGAGAGAGAACAACCAAAATATAGAAATAAACAAAGAAGACAGAGAGAGAGAGAAAAGTGGGTCGGAAACACCGAAAACAGCTATCGAGCCGATCCTGGCGAACAAGAGTTGTTGTCAGTGTCCAAGGCAGCTTGGCCATCCAGCGCATCGGCAGTGACTCCAGAAAACACGTGGTCTCTAGGCTCGGGGGAGGGAGGGACTATTGTGTCTCTATGCCGTTTCGATAGCTCCCGCTCCCTTCCCTCCTCTTCTTCATTGGCTCAAGCACCAAGGTCCCGAGGCCGCTCGCGGACCTCAGCGCGGGGCCGAAACGGCTGACAGCTAACACAGGAGGCGCAGCGGCGTCGCAACAATCACGTGAAAAAACGGGGTGGGCGGGAGGGACAGGCGGTCCCACCCTTGAGCCCCAGACGGCCGCAGGCATGCGTCGCGCGCAGCTAAGAAGCGAGGAGGGGGGCGCGGGGAGCCTAGGGCCTAGCTTAGCTTCACCCTTGTGAAATCCGGATCAGCTCCCGTCCCCCTCCCTCCTCTCCTTCGCTGGCTCAAGCACCAGGGTTCCGAGGCCGCTCCTGGGCCCGGTGCCGATGACGGACAAGGGGCAGCGGCCAAGGACTGGGGCACCAGGGTGTGTCCTTTTCACGGCCGGAGGCGTCGACGACGCCACGTCGCCGCCCGAAACGCACGGCCGGGCTGATGCCACCGATCGCCAGCCACCCCGTGCGAGCATGGCTTCCACGCCCGGCGCAGCAGCAACGTTTGCAGCCGCGCCCCGTCGAACATCGTGCCTGAACCCGACCGCGCGCGCGCAAGTGGAAACGGAGCTCTGCCGTCCAGGTCTCAGGAGAATATCCGCCGAGCGGGCGGCCCCTGACCCCGAGGAGCTCATCCCAAACGGGTGACCACGTGCGAAGGCAGATGCCTTCATCCACCCCGCACGTGCAAAAGACAGAAAACAGTGCACAAGTCGACCCTCTGCTTCTGGCGGATCGGCCCACACACGAACCGACCACCCTGCGCAAACAGCTCAGATGGCATCCACAACAGAAACTATATATTACAGACAAACGCTGCAATAACGCACCAACACCTGCGCTGACGCGACAGCGCGATGCGGAGCAACCGCCGCAGCAACAACCGCTTAACTCATTGCTGGGATAGCCGGGGCGCCCGGCATTTGGCTGTGCCCAAACGAATGCCGCGCAAAATGACATCCATATCGCCTTGGCAAGGAACGCCAGCAACCTGGTGCGCCAGGGCCCACACGCTCAGCCGCCCACGCTGTGTGGACGCACGCGCGCAAATTGCGGCAACCCTGCGAACGTGCTGCACGGAGCAACACAGCGGGGGGGTCCCTAACAACTCACTGGCCCACGCAATCATACGCAAATGCGATGCGTAAATACGCGGTATGGACGGAAACGTTTTGCACAAGAACCGTTCTTGAACCACCGAGTCCGCAACGGCCAGGAGGTTTGCGCCAACTGCGTGGGCTTCAACCATGGCGGCCAACACCACCCGCGGGGGTGCTCGTCCGGGTGTTTCTGGCTACACCCCCCTTCCCTGCTGAGAGCAACCATCTCGTCCCAATTGCGCCGGTCAGTCGCTTGGGTGATGGATTCGAAGCTTTGAATCGTCGGTCACGGTTGGCTCCTTGGCGGTGCGTCGCCGTCCATCTTGGCTCTCCTGCCCACGCTGCACACTTGGTCGCCTTGCCTGTGCCCTTGAAGTGTGCATACTGACCGACGCTCAGGGCTACACGAGTGCGCGCACTGGAAATATGTTACATACGGCAGGGGTTGCCATTGATGTGAGCTGGCATCAATGCGGTCGCACGTCTTGTATGCCGTTAGGCTAGGCGAATCGATCGCTCCACACATGCAGCCGCGAATTTGAACCGCAAAGTTGTCTGAACGTTGCGAGAAGATACCCAGTGCAACGGATGGTGAATGGCAGACTGCCACGAGTCGACCAATCCTCCCTTCAGATATCCACCAGCATCCCAAGCTCGCTGAACCACTCATCTGCACCAAGTCTGCATGCGGAACAGTAAGATACGGCGAATTCGTGTCGTGACGACTTGCGCGTTGGCCTCTGACAATAAGGAAGCCCAAAGATACCGATACCGCTACTCCCCGAAACTCTCCCGGGCTGCGTTTCGACTAGAATTTCGAAGCCAATCCAGCGGTGGCGGCGAGGGCCCCCCAGGAAGCCCCGCAGAAAGGCGAACAGGAGCGAAGGGCAGCGCAGCGTGCGCATCTCTCCCCCTCTGAAGACACCGCGCGGGTCGAACCTTGAACCATCGTAACTGGCCGCTGACGCAGACCTGCGGCACGGGAAAATGACCACAGCCACTGCTTCTTGTTTGCGCCGCCTTCCAGCCGGCCGAAAAAGAAGCAGTGGTTGTGGTCATTTCCCTGGTGCCAAGCTCCACGAAAATGACTACAACCACTGCTTCTTTTTCTGCGCGCTGGAAGGCGGCAACAAAAGAAAAGCAGTGGCTGTGGTCGTTTTCGCGCCCCGTAAGACCGTTCGATCTTGCCCTGGCCATCGTAATTAACCTGGCCATCGCTCGGACGTCCATTCCCTGTGTGTTTTTTTCCGGTTTCGGGCGTGGCTTTTTCGCCAGATGATCAAGGATGCTCCTCGATGTTCCTCGCCGAAGGAAACATGCACACGTCCGAGCGATGCCAAGTAACTGGCCGCTGACGCAGGCCGTTCGATCTTGCCCGCCTCTGGGCACCCGGCGGCTCTCCGTCTCGGCCGTCCTCGCCGGGGCCGCCGCCGCGCCCGCGCGGCGCGAGCCCGCCGCACGCCTGCCAAACGGCGACGCCCGCACGCCTCCGAGCCTCGGCGACCCCTTCGGCACGGGGGACGCGGGCCCCGAAGGAGAGACGGGTGCGATTATTCGTGGATCATGTGTGCATGGCTGGCCTGTGCGTGACTTATCTTGATAATTCTGTGTTGGTGTGTGTGTGTGTGATTACTATTGCTGAATAATCTGTGCGCGCGCGCCGTGCACAGCGGGCACTCCGCCAGGGAGTGCGGAGGCGGCAATGCGATTGCCTCGTGAGCCATTCGCGGGAGCTCGCCGGGAGCTCGCGTGCGTGGGAAGTCTCAAACAAAAAAAACAAAAACAAACAACTTGGGAGGCCTGGAGATGGGCACCAACACCAACACAGGGTGTCGTCTCCACAGGGGGAAGAGGATCCTAGATTTTGGTCTTGGTGGTCATATTGCGGCCACCTTGGAAGCCAGAATGCTACCACCATCACCGAGATCGGGATGTTCTTCCCTCGGTGGAGGCACACCGCCGATACTGGTGTTGGTGTCAACCTCTAGGCCTGCGAGTCCTGGGCCCTGATGCCATCCCCCCGGACGAGATCTTCATCCAGGGTCGCTTTGCCGACGCTCCCGGTGCCCGTGGGGGGCCCCGCTGGCTCCAGAAGCGGCGAGAAGCCTCAGGGCCCCTGTCCCTCGGGACCCGCTTCCCCCACGGCGATCCCCGCTGAGCCCTCACTCGCCATCGCTTGGACGTCCATCCTGTGCTCTTTTCGGTTTCGTGCGTGGCTTTTTCGCCACATGATCAAGGATGCTCCTCGATTGTCCTCGACGAAGGACAAATGCACACGTCCGAGCGGTGCCAAGCCCCATTGGATGCCGCGAGCGTGCTGGAGACCCTTGGAGCCCTGAAGCCGCCCTGAAGCCGCACGTGGCCGACTCTGCAGGCCTCTGGGGCCCTCCGCCCTCCGCGGGCCCTCCGCCAGCGGAGCAGTCCTCGTTTTGCCGGCACCTCCGTCAACGGAAACCTCCCCAGCGGGGTCCGCGCAGATGGTGTCGGAGTATCGCGACGAATCGCGGGTGCGTCGGCGATGCATCGGTGATGCATTGGCAGCGTCGGCGGTGCATCGGCGACGTCGGTGTGGAGGCAATGGGGCCCCACATCGAGCCGTTGTCGGCGATGGATCTCTTGGGACCCAAGCCGCTCGGACCCATCTGGGGGGCCTCTGCGATGGCCGTGCACCCGAAAGGGCGCATGGGGAAAACGAGGGTTTTGGTTTCGGTTTCGTGCGTGTTTTTTTCGCCAAATGATCAAGGATGCTCCTCGCCTCGCCGAAGGAAAGATACACACGTCCGAGCGATGCCAAGCCATTGGCATGCTCGCGAGCATGCGGGAAGTCGTGAAACTGGCGCCCGTGCGCCACGCAGGCAACCCGCCAGCAGTGGTCGGGCGCTGCGCTCCGATCTGCTTGCTCTCGGAGCCCCTCCGGGAGGCCTCGAGGCCCAAGCCCTGGACCCCCCTCCGCTCGCCATCGCTTGGACGTCCATTCCCTGGTCTTTTCAGTTTCGTGCGTGGTTTTTTCGCCAAATGATCAAGGATGCTCCTCGATGGTCCTCGCCGAGAAAAAATGCACACGTCCGAGCGATGCCAAATCCTTTGGACACCCCCGACGTCTCCGTCGCGACCAGGCCGCCCCCCGCCGCATCCTATGCCCGCGAGGCGCCTGGGAGACGCGCGCTGCCCCGCAAGGCGTCTCGACCGACAGCCGGGCGAGGCGGGGCGCCGAAGCCGCAGGGCAGGTGCACGGCGCAGGGGCAGAAGCCTTCTCGGCGGCGAGTGGGGCGGGGAAGCGAGGAGGAGAAGGCCTTCTCTAGGGGGAAAACAAACCTCCCTCGCTTTTGACCACCCTCGCTTCCAAGAGATACCAAACGGTGCCAAATTGCAGCCTGTACTGGTCAGGCCGCTTGACGAGGAGGCGCGTGGTATGACTTGGTTTTGCCTGGAAGCGAAAGCGGGGGAGGTAATTCACGCTCTAATTCTCAGAAGGCGGCGGGGCTTCTCAGAAGCCCCCTGCGGCCTTCCGAGGACTGCTGAGGCGTCTTCGGGGAAGGCTCAGACAACCTTCTCAGAAGACCCGAGGACTTCCGAGCCCTCTGAGAAGGCCCGCCCCCTCTCACTTGTCGCCGGCATTCAAAGCCGAGCACGGCGACAGCAGAATCGAACACCGACCGAACCGACAGCGAAACCGAAACCGAAATCGACAAGCCGCACGCAGCCTGGAGGGGCGCAGCGACGCGACAAGGGCGCAGCCGCCGACCGAAGCGCACTGACTGCGACGCAACCGACTGCGACGCGACCGAACCGGCCGAGCCGCGGAGACCCTTGAAACTCCCGCCGCCCCAACTTTTCCGACGCACATGGGCCCTCGGAGGACTGGACCACGTCCCTACAGCAGGAGCTCGACCACAAGAGACCTTCCACGAGAAGCCCTGCCCTGAGCCCCCCGGGCGCCCCTTGATTCTTGGCGTGGGAGCGCCACGCTTACCGTAGCAAGACCATCGGAGCCCAAGAAACCCAGGCCACCCTGGAAGCAAGCAGTGACAACCTAGCAGACCACCCCAACCCAACCCGAAGACCCGAACTTCGGGTTGGGGGGGAGGGGGCACGGGTTCCATACGTGATTCTTTCGATGTTCCCTGGGCCCCCCCCCCCTGGAAATGCAGGGCACATTGGGCCTTCGGGTTGGGTTGGGGTGGTTTGGTGGGTGGCGAGGCAGGGTGTTTCCGGCCATGGGCCTCTCCTGCAGGGCCCGGCCCCTCGCCCGGAGCAGCTGCTCGACGGCCCCAGGAGGGGGCCGCGGAGGGCCCCCCGGAGGCCACAGCCCCGGCGCAGACTGGCCCCTCTGCTCTTGCTCGGGGCCCCCCGACCTCAGGGGGCCGAGAGCCCACCGACCTGGCGTTGCATCCTCGGAGGGCCTCGTCTGCCCCCTGGCGCCACCACATCCGTGCCGGGTCCGAGCCCACGGGATCGAACCCGCGTCGAGGCCACGTCGCATCCATGTCGAGTCAACCGTCCAGTCAGTGCCGAATCTGGGGCGGGTACAAGAAAACGGACGGCAATCTACAGGACAGACGAGGCCCCCCGAAGTAACCGACCCCCCGCCGACGGACCCGCCTCCGCAGCACTCCCGCCGCCGTTCGCCGGCCACCCTGCCGAAGGCCAAGTGCGCCCCGGGGCGAGGCGAACCGACCGCTCCGTGAACACCCCAGGCATTCGACGTCCCGACTTCTGTCAGTGCGCGGCCCCCAGAAGTCTCGACGTTCTCCCCGGGGCCGGCTGTTGCCCCGCGCCGTTTCGAGGGGCAATGATGGGGGGGGACTGGCTCAGAGGGGGAAGCATCAACCTGGAATCGGCGATACATCGCCGATGGCCCCCGATAGTGAATCCGCGCGTCGCTGGGCAGGTTGTGATGGGCTTGTTTCCCACCACCACCACCGCCAGAAGTTGGAGGGGGAAAGGAGGTCGAGGATGAGGAGGAGGAAGAAGAAGAGGAGGGGAGAAGGACCCCCTCACCCCTCCAACTTCTGGTGGTGGTGGTGGTGGAAAACAGACCCATCAGGTTGGGGCTATCGGGCATCTGTTGGCGATCAATTGGCGGGTGGGAGTTGATGTATTCCCCCCTGTGCACATCCCTCCCTACCGTTGCCCCTGACGTTTCTCGACGGTCCCCGGACCCAATGAGGGCCCCTACAGCCAAACCCGTATGGTAAGGATGCGGAGAAAGGATGCAAAGCCTTGGAAGGCCACGTTGACGTTTTTCAAGTGGGGCTGGCCAGCGAACGTCGCCGAGGATGGACCAAAGGGGCAAGGATGCAAGGGATAACCTCGGAAACATGTTCATCCTTCCTGTGCGGATTGACTGTCGAGGCCGAGCGCGGCCAAAACCTGCCGTCCTGATTTTGCCACGACGCCAGCATGTCTGTCGGGCGGGTGGTTGCCCTTCAGAAGACTGGTATGGGCCCAGGACGTCCTGCAAGTCCTGCGTCTGAGGCTGGCATGCCAAGAGACATAATTGGGGCGCAACGGGGGGGACATCTGCAGACGATGCTGCTGCTGGCTGCTGCTTGCTTGCGTCTAGGACTACCTTCGCTACCATTGGGGTATCTCTCGGGATAAGTCGATAAACAGCTCCAGTTTCCTGGAGCCCGTTGGGCCGCCTGATGGCCTTCTGAAACGCCCTGGGGCCCTTCCAAGCTCGCTGCCTTTCTCTCTCTCTCTCTCTCTCTCTTCTTAAACGTCCCCGGAGGCCTTGTGATTGCCTCTTGAGGACCTCGTGGGCCGTCTTGGGGCACTCTGAGGGCTCCGGGGGTGCCCCATCCACACGAGCCCTGGACCGCCTCGCGCGCTCTGGGGCGTCCTGGGCGCGAGGTGCCCGCGATGGGGCTTCGCTGCCGCCGCGACCCGCTCCGCACGCCGAGGGTTATGCTGTTCCCGTCCTGCTTAAGGACCGCATCCCAGAAATAATTTCGAGCACCCAGAAGAGTGTCAAACGAGTGTCGAATCAGTGTCGAAACAGTGTCGGGCGAGTGTCCCCCAGGGCCCGGCGCGCGAAAACCCTTGGGTGCCGCTGCTTTTTGTTGGGCGCTCGAACTTCTCCCGAGGCTACAGCAGGTTGGAGCATCAGGAGCTACCAGCCTGGAACATATCTCTATCCCTATGCTGGGCACCTCCTCATCACGATGCCAATCTTAGGGATTCCCTTATTTTCTGAGGGCGAATCCCTGAGATCGTCATCGCCTTTTGGCGTGTCAATCTTGGGGATAGGGATACGTTCGAGGCTGGTAAAGAAGCCGAGGGGAAGGGGGCCTGGACACCATTCGAGTCGTTGCAGAAGTTCGAGATGCCCTTCGATTCTGAGATTAACCAGCCATGCTTGGTCCATGGCATGGCTGGCTGGTTCGACGCGGTCTTCGAGGGCTCCAACGCCACTGTGGTGCTCGACACCGTCCCGTGCATTTTTCGGTTTCGTGCGTGTTATTTTCGCTCGATGGTCCAGGATGGTCCTCAAGGTCCTCGCCGAGAAAAAAATGCACAGGTCCGAGCGATGCCAGGCATCCGAAGCCGAGGGGAAGGGGGCCGTGCGCGCTCGCGCCTTGCCGCCGCCCCACGGGCTCGAGGGCCCGCGGCGACTCCGCGGTGCACCGGCGAGCCGCCGCCCTCGGCCCCGCGGTGCGCGCCCCCGCCCGCCTCCGAGAGGGAGGGGAATTCGCAGAAGGCATCCATACACCACCAGCGTGCCAGGCCAGGGTCATCCTGGGCCCCAGGATGGTGTATACGCCCTCCCGGCCTGGTGGTGTATAGATGCCTCCGACAGGAGGGGAGGAACGGCGCCCTCGCAGGGAGGCACCCCGCCACGCGAAGCCCTTCGATCAGCACACCTCGGCAAGGGCTCCCCCCTTCGCGCTTCGCGCTGCGCGAAGCGCGAAGTGCGAATCACTTCGTGCTCTCGCGCCGCCTCCCAGGGGAGAGAAAGAGGATGAGGAGGAATCGGAGCCGAACCGCGAAGCGAGAAGCGCGAATAACCTCGCGCCCTTGAAGGCGCCCTTGCTCAAGGAACGGATCGACACATATGCCGTGTGGCGGCAGGAGAAGAAGCACAGCACGCATACCGCTCGCCTTCCAAGAAGAAGGAGGCGAAGGCGGCCGGAGGAGAGCGAGGCTGAAAAAGCGATGATCTGATGTGGGGCCCGTGCGCTCGAGCGTGGCACAGGGCTGGGTCAGGTCGTAAAATTCTGATCAACTGCGACGATGGCGCACAAACGCGGTGGGGCCTGTCGCGAACAGCTGCAAACACGGAGGCTTCGAACGAGATCATATTGTCCGCAGGAACAATATGAGCCCAGACTCGAATCGATAAGTCGGATCGGCGATCGAAATGAATCGGATCCGCGGAAATCGGCAGCCGATTCAGGAGAAGTCGAATTGGCGGAAATCGGGCAGGCTAGTAGGCCCCCATTGAGAACTAGCAGCCCAAATCGGAATCCAAAATCGAATCGAGTCGGAATTGGGAACCATCGGAATCGAATCGAATCGATCCGGAGGAGTCGGCATGAGCCCTGCCGGGGCTCACGCAACGATGTGATTGCCATCGGAAAGCCACCAACGCTGCAAAACAAACGTTCCATAAAACACAATCGGACCCAGAGCAGCCGCCCTCAGAGCACCACCGCGCACGACTGAGCATCGACGGACCGAATCCAACTCCATACCACGAGAAATTAGAATAAACACCCCCCTACGGTAATAACGCCTCTGCTTGTCCAGCCGCCTCAGTACGGAACGAACGTTCGCAACAGCAAACCCCATTCGACGTGCTCGCATCTTGAGAACGTCTGAAACGGTATTCAAAACATGTATTGGCTTGCCATATTGATACAACTCGTATGGCATCCGAATTATGCGTTGCTTGTGAATGCATTCGTGCGTGTACGTTCGAGCCCGGAGATGTTCACTGCCATGCGATCGCTTGCACCATCCACAAAGGACTATTGTGCATCCAGGGGTCGTGTATGTATATACAGTTGCGCGTATGCGACACGCGACGACCCCGATGCCAGCACACAACAGGCAACACCCGTCGCTGACATAGCGGATTCTCGACCAAGTATGCACAACACATGGATGATTATGCTTCGCCTATACATGCATCGATGTGTTGATTGTGGAGTATAGCCACATGAGCTCAAACCTGCACGGCAATTGGTAATGTGTTGCATGTGTGGCTGTGTGTTCACAGGCTTTGCACGTATACTTGTATACGTAGAAATTCTCCCCCCCACATACACACAACTTTCCGTCCACACTCATGTCCTGTTCCATCTAGTCGTACTTTCACACTGCACTCGTCTTTTCTGCCAATTCCTGCCATTCTGCCCACTTGCGATCCACATGGTTTTCGCCCTGGAGGCCCAATATTTTCCGTTGATGGTAGGTACCAGGCGCACTTTGCATTCGCAACGCAAGCCCTGCGCAATCATATTGAGTACTGCGTTTTCTCTGTAAGGACTAAAGATCAGGGTGCCCATTGCATTGTCATGCCATTGGTCATAGACAGGAGGGGTGCCAAGCAGGGGGCGTCAGATGTCTCGGGTGGTCTTGGGGGGTGGAGCCTTCCACCTGAAACATCCTCACAAACAGGAGATGTCGGAACAACTGACTTACGATGCGCCGTGAGCTCCAATGCCAAAACAGCATCACTCGCTACAGACACCGGCGGAAACTCGAAATGCCCGAAGGCCCTGCGAATGTCAGATTTTCGCAAACATTAGCCTGCCGGGAGAAACGTTGATCGACGAGACTTCGGGGTTCGCCTCGAGGTCCCCCAAGACGACCCAAGAGGCAGGAATACGTGTATAGGCGCCAACGACGGGCGGAAGGATACTTAACAGGAGGAGGAAACTCCAGTCAAGGAGGAGGGACAGAGAAGAGCTTCGGGCTTCGAGGTATACGACGTAGTCGTTGAAGGAAAAATTAGGAACCGCGGTGACGCTGCTCAGCCTTGCTAAGCTGCTTCGGCCGCAGGCCCGCAGTCAAACGATTCACATACTCACGACGGTGGGGCTTCATATATAAACCGCATGGGCCTCCCAAGCCACGCAACGGTCGATATCCTTGACACCCACACGCGGAACAAAACCATACACCCAAAGACCGCTCAAGTCTCAGCGAGTGCGCGCTATGCACCCACCCCCCAGCGATACGAACCGCCCCCCCCGAGGGGACAGAGGCAAACCTACTATCGATAGGATGAGGAACGAAACACGGCGACGACAGAAAGTCAAGGACTCTTTCTGGTCAGTGGTCCCGAAACAACGCAGACACTGCCTTCGATCATCGCTCAACGCGTGCTGGGAAAAGCAAGGGAGCAACGGCAGCAGGCGCAGGAGGAGGAGGAGTAGGAGTAGGAGGAGGAGGAGGAGGAGGAGGAGGAGGAGGAGGAGGAGGAGGAGGAGGAGGAGGAGGAGGAGGAGGAGGAGGAGGAGGAGGAGGAGGAGGAGGAGGAGGAGGAGGAGGAGGAGGAGGAGGAGGGGGGGAGGACCTACCCCCCTCGCAACACAGCTCCCGCCCTGTTCCTCGGCGACCATCGCGTCCGAAGTGGCTCTGAAGAGCCGCATCCGCACCAGGTAGATGAGCCTCTCGGCCTGGAGCGCACGCTGCAGTGCCTGGACGGGCACACGGGCGCGCTCCGCTGCCTCGGCGGCGAGGTGATCAACGACAGTGTTCCCCACTGCCAACCACGTTGGCACACGCAACGCAACGGCTTGCTCAGGTGTCAGATGAGAACTGACGAACAACACTGAAACCAGGCCTCGTCTGTAGGTCAGCAATTCCCCGATGGCGAACCACAAGTCGGCATTCGGCCCTGACGGCCTGTCGCACGGGCGGTCGCAAAATCCAGCAACAACAGAATCACAGTCGGTGACATATCAGATGGCACCCGCTGTGGCCTCTATGGCGAGCGGCAGTCCGCGCAGCTCGCCGCGCGGCACCGTCTGATGGCTTCCAGCTAGCCGGTGATAGAGGCTCGCACACAGCAAGGCTCGTATGACGGCAGCGCTGAAATGGCAACTCCAACTCTTGTGAAGCGAGGGTATGATGTCATTTTCCCTCCGCTGGCATCTCCGAAAATGATGAGAAGATCCCCCAGATGGCCGTATCCTAAGCACGCTTCCAGATCCTCCGAATTCGTCCCGGTGATGATCCAAGGCTCCTGGGGCGGTAGGGGGGGAACTTGAGTGTGACTCGATGGAAGGAGGCCTATCAACCACGCACACGGTGCTGAATCTGACTGTGCAAAGGCTGCAGTGACCAGGTACTCGCTGTCCTGATATGCCTTCGCTCCTTGATGCGCCTCGCAATTCCAACCACAATGAAACAGTCTCTGGATGCTTGCGGCAACGTGGGCATAAAACATCCTCCGCTCCTCCCTTGATTTCCTCCTGCCTTCGAGTTCGCGCCCACGAACCTGCACAAGCAATGGATGCAATAATATCGGAGAGACGGTGTCCGTTGTCTCAACCTGCTGGATGCGCCGCAACAGTCGACGCAGCGAGAAGTTGTCTACTCCTCGCTCCACGCCGCCTCCACAGAAGTGAACCGATGCTCGGCCCCACTGCAACGCACGTACAATCGCATCAACATCGTCAAGTAGCGGGGCGGGGTCGCCCTCAATAAGATCGCCCTTCAGTTCAGCAGACGGGAATTTCAACTCGGCTGAATCCCCGCATGCGTCGTTGTCAGGAGCCGCCCATCGAGAAGGTTCCACTGGGCCCCACCCCGCTTGTACGAGGTAAAGGATCAAAGCCCCTGTGGGCCCTCGAACCAGGCGGGGCCGCTGTCAAGGGGAGGCCCCTCGAAACCTGGCCAACAGTTTGGGCGGCGCCTGGGAAATACTGGGCCTCAAACTTGGAATCGTAAGCCACTGGTGTAAACAAAATTGCAGACAGGCACGCGGCAGCGCATAGATCGGGCCCACTTCCAGGGCAACGCAAGTCAAGAAGAGTGGTCAAGCATCTTCCCTGCGCCCCCGTCCCGCACACTGCCCCCGTCTGCCTCTTGCACCTCGCCATGGCGCTACCGAGAACACCGTGAAGCTGATGGGCATATAACTCCGCGGCCAGCGTACCAGCCCTGGTCAGCTTGCTGGTTACATGGCAACGTCTCGCAGCTCTAGCAAAACCTACCACTTTGCGATGCATGGGCTGTGGTTTCAAAACTCTTTTCCTGCGAACCTGGCGGGCGTGACGGCGCCCACTTCCCAAGTCGGCCCCAAGGCGCCCGGCTTGCGCGTTGGCTTTAACCTCGAATCCCCGACGCTGCAGACTACGAGCGATATGCTTTGCATCTTCAATGTGAGTGCATAATATAACACTCTTGGGAGATGCAAAAAGTTGCTGCTCCTGCAGGGCCTCGCATGCGTCCAACAATCCTGCTACAGGGTTCCGCCCCGAGGTCGCCCCGAAGGCGCGCGCGCGTTGAGACAGATCATCTATCCAAATGCGCGAACCCATGCCTGGGTGTGCAGTGGTGCTGCGGGATAGAATACAGCAGGTGAAGCAGCGTGCGAATCGGGTGCCCCCTCGGAGTCCTTGAACGACGCTTCGCGTCGGCTGGATGGGCCCGGCAAAAGCGGGACCCTGTCCCAGAGCCCGTGGCATGAGGCACTGCAGCAACTCCCAATAAAATCTCATTCGAATATGACGGGGGGATATCCCAAACGCAACGCAGCTGGCATCAATAAAAACCATTCCACGGAATCATAATACCCCATGCATCTCCAGAAGTCCGTGTTCCGATGGCAAATTTAGAAATCCTGAAACCCCCTCCTCGACCACTCTCAAAAAGTCCCTCCCGTAGCGCAGCGTTTCCCGAAACTGCCGCGTCCCACTCGAGCTCGGACTCTGCTGCCCAAGTCTTAACAAGTGGTTCCCTGGCGAGAAACCATACTCCGGCTACCATCGGAAGTAAACCAATGACGCGATCTCCTGAAGACTTCTTGGGCAGCAACCGTCCTATCGTGAGGCCTAGCTGCGATGGCCACGCGAGCGCCTCCTCGATGACGCAGTGCAAGCGAGATAACTCGGCTAGCGCCACAGCGGGCTGCCACTCGATGTCAGTGGGCGAGATCACGTCAACGCCCATGCCAATCTTGGGCCTCATCGCATGCGCTGCATTACGGATCTCATCCATTGACAAGGAATCGAGCGGGCCCTCGCGCGCGGCATCGCGAGCACAAGCGAAGGCATCATAAAGTCTGTCGCGGCCCAGTTCCTTCAGGGCCCAGAGTTTCCGAAATCCATCCGGCCTATGATCGGCAATGTCGTGCGGGTGAAAGAAGACCTGGGGCCCAACGCAACTTCATCGGTAGGTGCTGGATCTTGGCGCATGGCCTCGTGCAAAGCCACCCGCGGGCGAAGTTTGGACCATCCAATCACGAAAATCATTGATGGATGCCAGAAGTGCGCGTCGTCTGCAGCGGCCTGCAATCCGCCTGGCCGCGGCAGCGTCCATGGCCAGTCCACGCTGGTCGTCGAATGCGCCGCGCTGCAAAAGAGACTGCCAAAGATGCCGAGCTGGATCTGAGTTCTCTCGCAACCCTCGGCGGGCCCGGCCGGGGCGCTCACGGGGTGAATTCCTACAGGCTTGCTCGAGCTGCTGCTGCTGAATGTACCCAGACCTCTGAGACCAATGGTTGCCTAACTGTTGCAGTACTGCATGGGCCTTCTCCCGCCGCGACGCCGCGGCACCCCTGCAGGGTGCCAGTCTGCCTTTGCTGGGGGCCCTGGCGCGAGAAACCCGCAAGTGATAACCCAAGACGCGAGATGGCGTCGAGGGCGCCTCCACGTCGTGATGGTCGCACACCACTCGCTCCAGCGTCGCCGCCCATGAGGCGTGGAGAACCGAAGCGGAGGCGACGGATAGGCGCTCGAGCCTAGCGGCTACGGACGAAGCAAGCGCGGCAGAGGGCTTACGCTGAGATGCAGCAATGAAACCCACAACCACTCTGGCGCCACCCCACACATCATCAGGAATGAAGAAGCTGACCTCGCGATCATCACCTGGGGGGGGGGGGGGGCGGCTCTTCAAATGTGCCGGTTGGGGTGGTGACGCTGGAGAATAGCGGCGCAGGATCATCCGCGACATCTGAGCCTTTGAGACGTGGCGCGAGCCCCCGCGCAATGCTGGGGGCGCACTGGGGCAAATGAAAACAAGCGCCTCGGGGTTCCAAACAGAAGGCCTGGAAAGGGGCTCGCAACTAGTGCGAAGACCTTCGGCATGCCTATGCTCCGGTTCCCCAGTCGCGGGTGCAACGTCACCATGGCTAGCTGGTGCTACTGACTTAGATCGGCCCACGGATCTTCTTCCGAAGGGACATCAGAATGGTTGTCAAACGGTCGCTCGTCGGCGGCATTGCCAACAGTCCCCGCGCCCTGTAATGTCGAGGGCGTGGCGCGCCCGAACTCGACTCCATCATGCCTGGCAGGTGCCCGCAAATCTCCAGACAGCGGATGGAAGCACCCGCGGGTCTTCTCGACGCTGGCCGGGGCTCTAGTCGCCTTGGCCGATCGAGCAAGTTGAGACTTCGAGCAAGTTGAGACTTCGAGCCCGGGGCGGGCGCGCGCTGTGGACGACTAGCCTGAGGGAGCCCGGCGGGTAACACGAGCCTTCTGGTGAGGAGTTGCTCCCCCGAGGCCCTGAGGGCAAGCCTGAGGCCGCAGTGGGTCTTCCAGCGGCGGCAGCAAAGCTTCGAACGACATAATCAAGGCGACTGCCTTCTCTACCAGCGTCACGCGTGCAATCTATCGGGGCCTTTACAGCCTCGCCCCCAACTCTCGCTAGAAATCCTGCGGCGGCCAACGATGTGGATGTTGCGCGGAAGTCGCCTATGACAATCCAAGGGGGGCTCGAGAGAGGCGAGGAACGCTCCGAATCTAGAGAAACGCGGCACATTGCAATCGGTCAAACCTATCGCCATGTATCCGTAGAACGTGACTAGCACGAAAGAGTATCCGACCATATGAATGCGAGCTGCAATGAAACCGTCGATCATAGTCTGACCGCCGACCTGGAAGTCGGAAGTATGCTCAACCTGAGGGGCCATTGAGTGTACTTGCATGTGCCCAGGGGCCATGATCCACTCGCCGCCCTCGGTGGCTTTCTCGATTCCCGCGGCAACTACTGTTTTCCCTGTGGGTCTCGCTGGGTTTGCAATGAGACAGAGGTTGGCAGCGCGAGCTTTGCGGATCCAGGGCGACAGTGCGGAACGTGAGACATGAGTCTCGGCAAGGCAGAAGAGTTTAAATTGTTGGCACGAGTGCGCCCCTTGAATGAATTGCCACGCCTTGTCTCCCATGGCAGTGACGTTGCCAACCACAAGCTGCAGAGGGCCCTCATTCCCCTGAGGCGGTCGAGCTCCCTCGAGTGAAAACTGGGGTCAGCTGCAGCAAGACAGTTCCCTTCCCTGAGGTGCTCTCATGGGTGGGCAAGGTGTCACTGCTCACATGATCAACCCCTAGTCACAGCTCTGGATCCCCACCATCAACTCCTGCGTTGCCCCCGTCGCTTCGCGCCTGGACTGCATGCGCCTGCGCGGCTCACTTGGCGTCGGAGAAGAGCTTGACCTCGGCTGCAATCCGCTGCTCACGCTGCTCTTTGCTCTCCTGATCGGCTGGTCCGCTCGGCGGGGCTGTCGTAGTGGTCGTGCCAGTGGGCCGAGGCTGAGACTCGGATCGGGGTGCTGTCGCAGGTGAAGGCGTCGGTTCGCCATCAACACCACGACGCTTCTTGGCAAGTCGGGCAGTGATGACTGCCCGCATCTCGGTGGCTTTCTTGATGAAGGCGGTGAACTTCTCCGCCGCGCCGTTAAAGTACTTTTGGGTCTCGATGAGCTGCTGATGTGCCTTGTTGAGCTCGGTGCGCTCCGTCTCCTCACACTCAAGGCCCCCGAAATTCTCAAACAGCTGGCTGTCAAAACTGAAACCAAAAGGCTTGCCCCCAGTGGGTGTCGCAGTCGGTGTCGGAAACGATGGCGACTTGTGAAAGATACCCTCATGGTTGGCAAGAAGCTGGGCGGCTTGCTTCTTCGCAAGTTCGGCCTCGGCCAGCCCGCGTGCAAGCCGCTGTTCCTTCTCCTGGGCTAAGCCGAGTCGCGCCAGGCTCCGTCTGCTCTCTGTGAAGACTGGAGGGCTCCCGCCGTGGAGTTGACTTCATTGGCCCTGTGGCTGCTTCAGCTTGGCCACCTGGGAGTTGAGCGACGACCTCAGCTCGGGGTCGCTCGCCTGCTCCAGCGCCTGTTCCAACAACTGTAGAACTGAGCCAGCTGCGGACGGCGGTGGTGTACCTGCTCGACGGCGGGCGCCACGAGCCTTGATTTCATCCGCTGGTGCGTCCTCCGAAAAGGCGGCCGTCTTCAGGATGCTGCGGCGTCCGCCACTGGGTCCTGAATGGGCCTCCTCCTTATCTTTGTCCTTCGATGATGGAGCGGCATACAACTTGACCTTACTCTTGCAACGTGCGCGCTGTGCTCTTGCTGACTAGAATATCGTTCCACTCCGACTGGGAACAACGCTTGCAGGTCGACCACGCCCGCGCCATTGCAGCAACCTCGGTTTTCGTCAACGCTCTGGCTGAGAGTGTCCAAAAGGGGACGACAGCAACTCAGGGCTGCGCTGTCCCTCAAGCTCTCGCGGGAAGGGACCGAGGCGCTGGGCCAGAACAGGGAGGGGGAGGAGGAGGAAAAGGAACAGGGAGGAGGAGGAGGGAGGCGGGATGAGGAGGAGGAGGAGGAGAGCAGGACGAAATGAACACCGAATAAGAATCGTGTGGATGAGGGGTGGAAGCAGAAGGATGGAGAAGGAGGACCAGGAACAATCATACAAGTGAGGAGGAGGGAGGAGGATGGCAAAGACAACGAGGGATGATGATGAGGGAGGACGAGGAGGAAGGGGGAAAGGCTCCAGGCAATCCCAAAAGACCCCAGGCACCAGTGTCCCAGGAAGCCCCAGGCGGCTCTAGGAGGCACCGGGATAATGACAAGCACTGCGAGGAAGGCTGATGCGAAATTCAGGGAACACGCAAAGAGCACGCAACACAACATAGCAATCACTAGAACATCAATTGTGGCACGCCGTGGTATTCCGTAACATTGCATGGTGCTGCTCGACTGCAACTTCTGTACCGCGCTTGCAGGTCCTTGAAGGTTGGCGTCGGGAGCCAGCAGACACACGAGATGGCCATTGAATCATCATTAGCAGCATTGTAAACACACGTCTTCCTCTTATTGTTTGACGTTTGTTGCGGCATCCGCTCCAAAAGGCGGACCCTACGAGAGGAAGTGCGTCCTAAGCCCGAACGGCCAATAACGAACATGCCGCAACTCGCTTTGCATGACTTCCGGTATCGTTAAAGGCCACGGGGGCCACTGAACAACATGAAGAGAATACACAAAGCACCAGGAGCGCGACTAATGCGTTTGAGGGCAAGATATCCACCTCCCTCCCATTATCCTGAGCATTAGTTCTCCCTCCCTAGACCCTTTCCTCATTCCTTCCTCATCCTCTGCCCCCGCGTCCCACTCTCTTCCCTTCTTGGGGATGCATAAGGAAAGGGTCGGAACGGAGGGAGGATGATGAAGCATGGAAGCCCGCGCGCACTGATGCGTACGGTCAAGGACGATCACGCGCTGCGCAGAGAAGGGTGAGGTTTGCCGAAGGCAACTGCAACAACGGTGGCCGTCGGGCGAGAACCGACTTACTTCCGTCGCCGTCCGCCGCGCTTCCGTTGCGTACCCGCGGGATCGCCGCTGCTGTGCTTCCACAAGGCGAGGACGTGTCAAAGGCGAACCCCTTTTGACGACCTAATTACCAGACCACCCCAACCCAACCCGAAGACCCGAATTTCGGGTTCGGGGGGGTTAGGGTGCCACGCGTGTTTTTTCTTGTTCCCCGACCCCCCCCCCACTGGAAATCGACGGTAAATTTGAGCCTTCGGGTTGGGTTGGGGTGGTTTGGTGGGTGGTGATTTGTGGAGCGCCCCATCTGGCCATCTGGCCCACGACGCGCTTTCCATCGGAGTGCCGCCCGCACGACGGACCAGACGTCCAGAAAACGTCCTCAACGCCCCAGAGGCGGAAGAGACCGGCAGGGCTGGCAAAACGGCCCAAGCGCTGCCAACCTCTGCGAGAAGTAGCGGTGCCCTGGCGCCGCGAGAGGCCCGAAACTTGAGCAGGGACCGACCGTCCCGGCATTCCTATAGCCCCACCACGACATGTTCTTAGAACCCAAACATGTTCCAATAACAAAAACAAGAGTCTGATAACAGAAACCCGATGCGACAAAGCAAGACAGACTCCGCCAGAAATGTTCTAAGAACATTTCGTGGAAACCACACAAGGTTCTTAGGACACTGTTTGGTATTACCAGCCTGGAACATATCCCTATCCATATGCTGAGGACCTCCTCATCACGATGCCGATCTTAGGGGCTCCCTTATTTTTGAGGGCGACTCCTTGAGACTGTCATCGCCTTTTGGCGTGCCAATCTCAGGAATAGGGATACGTTCGAGGCTGGTAATGGTAGGGCTCCAGGCAGGACGCCACTGCCACTGCTTGAGAAACGCGGCGGCGCGACGCACGGCCCCGCGCGCCGGCTCGCGCGCGGCGGGGCACGGCGTGCCGCCCGTCCGAGAGGGCCACCCCGTGAGAGGGCAGAAGCAAACTAGAACGAGGTCAGGAGGCAACTACTGGGAGGCTTTCGTCGGAAAAATGGAGGTTAGGAAAAAGGGGCAGAATGAGGTTAGGAAGAAAGAAACAATTAAGGACAATGGGGAAAATTGAGGTTACCTACTGGGAGGCCTTCGTCGGAAAAATTGGGGAATGAGCCCCATTCGGGAGCTGTTGCGCCGGAGTGGGCCTCGGGCTGAGCAGGACTACGCCGGATAAAGCGGGATTTCGCGGGATTAAGCCGGATCAAGCGGGATTAAGCCGGATTTCGGACCAGGGCTAAATCAGAAGTTTACCTCCCAGGAATTGCATCCGAAGTGAGGGGGCCGAACGGTCATTCGCTGTCCATGCGTGCGAGGCTGACGTGGGCTTCCAGGGTGCGGATTGTTGAGTTCTCATGCGTAAGAAAAGTTGTTGATCCCCCCCCTCCAGGGCACATGGCGTGTTGTTCAATGAAGGTGCTCCTCCCGGTGCTCGCACCTGGTTTTTCCCAACCATCCTGTGGTGTTGGGTCCTCGTTTTGAAGAGACGGTCCTCGCGTTCCTCTTCTCATCTCCTCCTCCTCCCCTCCCTCCTCCCTCTTCCATGCGTTTCACCTACCCAGCAAAGCGCTTCGTGGCCCTATAGGGAACCCCATGGAAGGCCCCAGTGGCACCGCCCGCATGCGCCCGCCACCACCCAGCATGGCCCTTGCTCCCTGCGTTTCACCCACCCAGTACAACGCTTCGTGGCCCAATAGGGGGGTCCCACCGAAGGTCCCAGTGGCACCGCCCCAAGCTTCCGCCACCACCCAACACAGCCCTTGCTCCCTGCGTGTCACCCACCCAGTACAGCGCTTCGTGGCCCCATAGGGAACCCCATGGAAGGTCCCAGTGGCACCGCCCGCATGCGTCAGCCACCACCCAGCACGGCCCTTGCTCCCTGCGTTTCACCCACCCAATACAACGCTTCGTAGCCCCATAGGGGGCTCCACGGAAGGCCCCAGTGGCACAGCCCGCATGCGTCCGCCACCACCCAGCACGGCCCTTGCCCCCTGCGTCTCATCCACCCAATACAACGCTTCGTGGCCCCATAGGGGGCTCCACCGAAGGTCCCAGTGGCACTGCCCGCATGCGTCCGCCACCACCCAACACAGCCCTTGCTCCCTGCGTTTCGCCCACCCAGTACACCGCTTCGTTGCCCCATTGGGAGCTCCACCGAAGGTCCCAGTGGCACCGCCCGCATGCGCCCGCCACCACCCAGCACAGCCCTTGATCCCTGCGTTTCACCCACCCAATACAGCGCTTCGTGGCCCCATAGGGGGCTCCACCGAAGGTCCCAGTGGCACCGCCCGCATGCGCCCGCCACCACCCAGCACGGCCCTTGCTCCCTGCGTTTCACCCACCCAGTACAGCGCTTCGTGGCCCAATAGGGGGCTCCACCGAAGGTCCCAATGGCACCGCCCGCATGCGTCCGCCACCACCCAACACAGCCCTTGCTCCCTGCGTTTCACCCACCCAGTACAGCGCTTCGTGGCCCAATAGGGGGGTTCCACCGATTGGTTGCGTCTGCATATGGTTGCGACCGGTTCGTGAACCCAGAACTGTATATGATTGGGTCTTTCGCCAAGCAAATTTACAAGAGAAAGAGAGGGGTCACCAAACTGGCCCTCTGGCCCCCTGGCCCCCGAAGTACAACAACAACAACAACAACAACACCAACAATCATTTAAGACTGGGGACACTCCGTTCTCACCAGTGCCAGGGTTTTCATAGGAGGCGGGCAATACCCCCACTTTGTGGGGGGGCCGGTTCAAGCTCTACCAATTTCCAAACGACTCTTCGCCACCACCCACACCCAGCTTCCCGCCCTATGACGTTCGGACACTTCACTTCGTGGCCTGCGGACGACCGTGGCTACTACACTGGCGCGTGGCTACTACACTGGCGGATTGTGGCCCCTGGCAGGCGCGCGAACGCCGTTGAAAGAGCTTGCGAAAACAGCTCGCGCGAGCTCTATAACATAAATGTTGAAAAACCATTGGTTTTTAAGGATTCGGACAGCGCGCGCGGGTAGAAATTTTGAAAATTCGTACAGATGTTTTTCGAGAACCTACGGTGCGATTCGTATGATTTTATGTTGCGCGGTGCTAAAATTCCTAAGAAACCCAATGATTTTTGAAGATTTCGGCGTGCGCGCGCGAAGAAAAAACGAATGTGTCCCACATGGTATTATTTGACAGGGATGATGGCCCTGGCAGGCGCGCAACCTTTGTTGCAGAAGTTCGAAGCACGTGAAAAAGTTGCTCGCAAGAGCCCGTTTGACAGAAATGTTGAAAAAGTATTGGGTTTCCTAAGAAATCCGCAAGAGCGCGCGGGGTGAATTTTTGAAACCCTTTTTTTGAAAAACCATTGGGTTTTTCATGTTTTTATGTGAAAATCGCTACGAAGACTAAGGTTTTGGAAGGATTTCGTCTTGCGCGCGCGAATGTGCACTTCGTGTCATTTTTTGCAAGGGATTCTTGAAGTTTGGTCATGTTAGAACAAGAAATGTCCACTTTGCCTTATTTTTTGCAAGGGAAAACCGATCGTA